GACGGGGCATGGCTCTGGTCTGGTCCTGCTGGTCACTTGATTTCGGTCATCCTTTAAAAACGTGGTTCTAAAATGGCACCGGTTCTGGGCTCTGAGCTGATGCTCCCTCAGGAAACCACCAATCCTTTCTTCCCTTTTAGGTGCAGTTTTCTATCTTGGCCAGAAACTGCTGTGCCCACCACTCCTCCAGGTCAATGGGAACGAAGTCTGAAAGAGAAGAGGGAGAAGGGGGAGCAGAGCAGCTGGAGCTGGGAACAGAGCTTCACAGGCTCCCCCCAAGCCATCCCATTTGCCACTGAACAAAAGAAATGGCACCCCAGTATCTCCCCCACCCCTGTGCCCTCTCCCCAAAGGCCAGGCCTGGTTCATGGGGACATCTCAGCCACTGTAGGAGCCCTCAGGCTGCATTCACAGCCCTTGCTCCTGGATCATGTTCCTATCCCCACAGCTGTCCTGCTCAGCATCAGGGGAGGCAGATCCTCATGGTGGGACCTGGGGGCTTCTCTCCAGCATGATGTTGAACCCACCTCTGTGGCTGGAGAAGGCATGACTTCCAGAAGTCATCAACCAGGCATCCTGCTTGCTTGGACACCCCCACCGTAGCACTGGGGCCAGCTCTGCCCACCACCACTCCCAAAACCAGGCTCAGCAGCACAGACCCAACCCAGCCCTTCTGGGGATCCTCCTCCCACCACAGCCCTGCTCAGGTACCCAGCTGAGCCCACCCCAGCTCATTGCATCCCTGATGCACCTCCCCTCCGAGTGCTGTAGCTGCTTCCCACTTACTTTTGAGTCCAGGGTTGGGGTTTTTCTCTACGTACTGCACGGGGCCGCAGGTGCTCTCCCCGCTCCGGCTGCCGTCCAGCTGCTGCTCTACCTGCTGCCAGGCTGGATGCAGGAACAGCCAGCAGAGGGTTGGGGATGGGGATTGCCCAGCAGGAGGAGTGGGAAGTGGTCAGAGGGGTGCAGGTACCCAGGCTGGGAACCCCCTCCCTGCCTCTGAGGTCCCTAGCAGCATGAGGCTGCTCAGGAGGGACCCCACATGCTTCAGCCCCCTTGGGATGTGACAATGAGCAGGCCCAGCCCCCGGGGACCCTCTGCCCTCACCTTCATAGACAAAGCGGACATTCTCTTCATGGGCCAGTGTGTAGCACTCTTCAGGGGCCGAGACCTGCTGCGGCAGCACCTGCGGCCTCTTGCCATTCACTCTGTTGAAGACGAGTTTCTGGGCTGGGCTGTGGAAGGGAACAAGGTGGAGATGAGGGGGGCACCCACCACAGCCTGGAGGAAGGACAGGGGCTACCCCGCTCAGCACCCTCCCCAAGGGAAGGGACCCAGAAGGAGCCAGGCCCAAGGGAGAGGAGGTTCCTACATGGGGAGGGGTGTGAGGGGGATCCCCACGGAAGAGCACAGGCTGCCCATCTCCCACCCACCCTCCAGCCTTAGCACAAAATATGGTCCCCAAAATAAGGAATATGCCACCAAAAATGCTGAAATACCAGGGAAATGGAAGTGAAATCCAGGCACCAGGCAGGGGATGCACATCGGTGTCATCCCCACAGACCAAGCACCCAGGCTGGCTGTAGCAGCCCCAGAACCCAGCATGTTCCCAAGGTGCCCTGGGACTGGGATGAAGCCCTTTGCCAAGTGGGAGCAGGTCAGGCTTCCCCGGAGCTGGGCACTTAAAACAGCCCCAGCCTGGAAACAGCAAACCCAGGTGGAAAGAAAGGAAAAGCTCGGGATGAGACTATGGGCACGCTGGATGCAGAACTCGAGTATTCTGGCTTTTCTGCCCAGCTTCAGGGCAGGACACGTCTGCAACAGCCGTGTTTCTCATGGGACAAAGTCTAAGGGGCCCCGGGAGTGCAGGCGGGTTATGATTTGCAGGGCAGGTGAGACCCAAAACAGGCAGCCCCTGCCCACAGCACCCCTGCCAGGCCTGCAGGAGGGTCAGGGACAGGACAACACACCCCAGACCCTGGATGGGGGGCACCGGGCAGCAGCCAGGAGCCGGCACAGCCAACTGATGTAAGGGTGTAAGCCTGGAGCCATGCTGGTTAGGGGAAGGTCCAGGGTGGAGGAGGACAGCCCGGACAGAGGGGCTTTTCCATTCCTTGAGGCTAGGGGAAAGAGGCAGAGCCATGCAGGCCCCAGAGCCCTGCCTGATGGAACAGTGCTCTGGGAAAAAGCTCCTTAAGGAAAGGAACCATCACCCCTCCAACCAGTTTCAGACCCTCCCACCAGGTATTCCTGCTAAGGGCTGCAAGCCTCAATAGCTGCAAGCTATTCCCCTCCCTCAGGAACAGGGGACACCTTACCCTGGGCTACCAAGGGGACATGGGACAACCCACAAACGCTGCCCAGGGCCACCACGGGGACATGTGACAACACATAAACGCTGCCCAGGGCCACCACGGGGACATGTGACAACTCAGAAACGCTGCCCAGGGCCACCACTGGCCACCACTTCAGCCCCGGGTACGCGGCAGTCCCACACCGGGCCCGGCGGTACCGTCCCCAGCAACCGGGCACTGAGACCCTCGGTCCCAACCCCATCCCCGTGCGCACCGGCTCCGGTGTCCCCCCTCACCCATCGCACACCCCGAGCGCGCCGTGCCCGCGGCCTCGGCAGCGCTGCCCCCTACGTCCCGTTCCGTCGTGCGGGCACCGGCCGGCGGCTCCCTCCCCACCACGGTGCGGGAGGCCCGGTAACCTTTCCCCAAGGTCACGGCGGCGGGGCTCACCTGGCGGGGGGCCAGGCCCCGGGCTGCAGCCGGCCCCGCAGCTCGGCCCCTTTGCTGCTCTCCACCGCCTGCTGCGTCGGACCTGCGGGCGGCGGCGGGACTCAGAGCGGCGCCGGGGCGGCGGGGCGCGGAGCGGGACGGATCCCGCGCACACGCCGCTGCCCGCCCCGGTGCCGTCCGCTGCCAGCGGTACCTGTGCGGCGCTGCGTGGCCAGCTTGCTGGGGCCGCGCGTCAGCGTGTACATCCTGCGGCCCCGCACGGCCCCGCACCGGCCCCGCCTGAGCGCCGCGTGCCCCCCGCCGGGCCTTTAACGGGCCGGGCCCGGGCGGCCGCGACACGCCCCCGCCCTTAAAGGGCCCGCGCGGGACGGGAATGGGGGGGAAACGGGGCGGGACCGGACCGGAGTGTGGGAGGGACCCGGGGGGAGGTGCCGGAGGGGGGACATGGGGGCAGGCACAGGGAGGGACAGAGCAGGGAGACAGGGGGAGCGTACGGGGTGGGGGTGGGGGACACACGGGGGACACGCAGCGTGCACAAGCGAGAATTGTGTAGGGACATTGGGGACACACGTGGAGGTGTGTGGGGGCACAGGGGACACACGGGTGGAGGGATGGACACATGGGGGCACAGGTGGGAGGTGTGGGGGACATTGGGGATACGTGGGAGACACGGGGGGGGCATACGTGGGTGACACACATAGGAGGTGTGGGGGGAACACGGGACACATGAGGGACTCATGGGGGCGTATGTGAGAGGTGTGGGGACACACATGGGGGACACACGTGGAGTTGTGGGGGGGGACATGGGGGACAGAGGGGGGCATATGTGGGATGTGTTATGGCAGACACATGGGGGCCACGTGGGATGTAGGAACACAGGACACATGGGCACACGGGAGGCGGGGGGGTACGTGGGGGCACATAAGGGACATAGATGTGGTGTGGGGTCACACAGAGGACATGTGCAGGACACACAGAGGGAACACGCAGGAGGTGGGGACGCGTGTGACACACAGGACAGGCACACATGGGGACACACAGGAGACATGCGTGGGACACAGATGGGACACGTGGGAGACATGCACAGGACACACAGGGTCCAAGTAGGAGAGGGGACACAGGCAACGCATGGGACACAAGACGGCACAGGCAGGGGCACAGGAGTGACAGGGAACACAGGGAGCACGTGCATGGGGACACCTGGGAGACAGAGCCATGGGACACACAGGGAACACGTAGGAGTCACTTCTGGGACACACAGGAGCCAGGCTGGGGACAGTGACGGGATGTAGAGGCAGGGGCTGAGGTGCCCCCATGCTGGGGACAGCACTGTGACCAGCTGCGGAGCCCCGGGACCCGCAGGGGACACTGGGCTGGGCAGCCATGTCCTGGCCACTGTGGTGACCTTTGGAGCGGGGAAGGCACCTCGAGGTGTCCCCACATGGCAGGCAGTGCAGCCCCAGGATGTGACCCCCCGGCCACCCCCAGCATCACCCCTCGGAGTTGTGGGGGGACATGGGTGGCGCCCCAGGTTTTGGGGTCAGGATGGGTCACAAACTCACTGGCATGCTCCGGCTTTGCTCCAGTGCCAGTGAAGCCATCCCACAAGGGTGACCTTGGCCTCTTGGCCCTGCGAGGGTGGGAGGGGGCCCAGCCCCCCAAAAGAGCATTCAGCGGGGTGCTGGGCACCCATGGCTGTACCCGCAGCTATCACCCCCCGCTTGACTTCCTCAAACCCACTATCACCCGAGGGGGAGGGAGCTGTGCTTCAGTTTCCCCACCTGCACCCTGATCAGGGGGTTTTCGAGGCGCCCATGGTGTACCCACGAGCCCTGAACACAGCTCCTCGGGCTGCGGCTGCATCCTGCCCAGCGTCCATCACTTGTGCAGGTCCTGGCGGGGGGGGCCTCCGCTGTTCCCACGCACCCCGACTTCTCTGGGGTGTTCACGCAAAGCCGGTCTTCGTTAAGCGGGGTGGGAACAGAGTGGAAGAACCCATAAGGGAGAAACAACAGCAGCCCCAGCACACCGTCACCCCACACCACTCCCCCTACAGAAGGTTAAGTACCGCTGGGGCAGAGCCGGCTGCAGCAGCGCCGCTGGTGTAGTGGTATCATGCAAGATTCCCATTCTTGCGACCCGGGTTCGATTCCCGGGCGGCGCACAGCCTTTTCCGGCCCTTTTCATTTGCTTTTTTTCATTAATTATGATGTATTTCTCACCCGCCGGTAGGGGCGGTCACGGGGGGCTCCTGGGAGCTGTAGTCCCAGCGCCGCATCCAGCACCCCCGGCCATGCAAGCGCCGGCGGCTGCGGAGCGCAACAAGGGCCCGATCCTGGCGGTGCTGCGGCAGTACGCGGGGTGCGGCCCCGGCGAGCTGCGGGTGCTGGAGGTCGGGGCGGGCGCGGGGCTACACGCAGCGCACTTCGCCCAGGCGCTGCCCCACACCCGCTGGCAGCCCTCGGACATCGACCCGCGGGCGCTGCGCAGGTGGGCGGGGGTATGGCGGGCTGGGGAGGGCCATGGGTGGCTCTGGGGAGACAGTAGGGGCTATGGGGGCACATGGGGGGGCACATCCTGCATCCCTTTACCCGACCCTCCCGCCCGTGGCCCCACTGCCGGGCTCTCCCCCTCCCCGCGCTGCTTTTTATTCCCGGAAAGCACCGATATCCAAGCCTCGAATGACCCGGGCTCCACAGCTAAATGCTTATTTTATTCCAGAAAAGACTCGATACTGAACCCTCAGCCAGCCCCGGTTCCCCTGCTTCATTTTTTTTCCCCAGGAAAACCACAACATTCAACTCTTGGGCAGCCCCAGCTCCCCTGCTTGCTGCAGGAAAACCACCACACTCAACTCGTGCTCAGCCCCGGCTCCCCCAGTCAACACTTGCTATCTATTCCCAGAAAATCCCCGATACCCAGTTCTCAAGCAGCCCAGGCTGCCCAGCTTTGCGCTTTTATTTTTCCCAGACAACCCTAGTTTTCCCCTCTCCACCAGCCCAGTCCCACTACGGAACCATCCCTGCCTGCCAAGCGCCCGCTGGGCTTTGTTACCCACAAGACTCCATGGTGATTCCAGGCTGGATGCCCGGGACACTGGCAGCAGCTCCCACCCCGCTCCCGTGTCACATCGGCCGTGTTGGGCCCTGCTGATTTGCTCTGTGTGTCCAGCCGCAGCCATGTGTCCATTCCAGGCATTGCAGCGCCAGGCTCAGGCGGCGTCGGTTTCCATTCAGGAAATAAACCTACTGGGGAGGAATCCCCCCCGTAAGAAAATAACGAGCGCAGTGAGGGGGTGCCAGACGCTGAGCCTGTCCGTGGGGCTGCGTCCGGTGTCCTCCCCAACGCCACCTCTCCAACGGGGGTTAAAAATAACCCTCCATGAGGCTGCAGTTCCCTGCTCCAGCCGGGAATGGAGACCCGCGTGGTGAATGGGCCAGAAAGGGCATGAATCACTGCAAATCACCCAGCGCTGGTGCAGCGGTGCAGGAGCATGCGGGTGCAGGCAGAGTGCGGGCAGCCTGAGCACGTGGGTGCAGGCAGCACATGCAGGCAGCGGGGAGGACAGCGTGCTCTGGCTGCCTTGCTGGAGGGGGACTGAGGTTATTTAGGCACTGGGACCTCTCAGTCCCTGTGCCACCATTTGTCCGGCTACTGCCAGTTCTCCAGATGCCTGTTGGGAAGCAAAGAGACCCCCTTGTCCTGTGTAGAGCCCCCCACCAGGCTGCATTGCAAGCACAACCTTATTATTTGCTGTCAGAGACTCCCCCTGGGGGATGCTGCGAGCAGCCAGCATGGGCAGGTTTTCGGCTCAGTGCAGGGGGTGCCCCGGCTGGAGTTGACGTGAGGTTTGGTGCCCGCAGCATCGCTGCCTACGCCGAGGCCATGCGGGTGCCCAACGTGCTGCCCCCCATCCTGCTGGACGTCTCGCAGGGCTGGGAGACCTGGGGGGGCATCCAACCCTCCAGCCTCGACCTCCTGGTCAGCATCAACATGATGCACATCGCGGAGCTGGCCTGCACCGAGGTGAGCAGTGGGGCAGGGCTGCGCACTGACACGTCCCTGGCCCTGGCTCTGGGGGTCCCACGGGGTGTCCCTAGCCACCTGACCCCTGGTCCCCACCTCTCTCTTCACCAGGGCCTGTTCAAAGGTGCTGGGGTGCTGCTGAAGACGGGAGGTGTGCTCTTCACCTACGGGGTGGGTGCTGCTCAGCTGAGCATCCTGGTGCAGGAGCATCCTGCTGGGTGTGGGGTGGCAATGGGGGTGCTGGGAGAGTGGATGGGAGGGGAGTTGCAGGTGTGGCTGAGGAATGGGGGATGTTGGGTTGGGGAATCTCAGCTTTTTTGGGGCACATATTGAGCTCTGGATGGGATGGCTTTTGTCCTCCCTCACCCCAACAGAAACAGGGGTGGGGGTGCCCATGGTTTGTGAAGGGACACACTGTGAGTGACGGGGCCTATGGTCCCTCTTGTGTCGTGTCCCCTCCCTTGGCATGATGGCGTCAGCAGCCCAGGGGCTGGGAGGTGCTCAGGGGGGACACATGATGGCTCCTGCCTGCAGCTCCAGCTTTGTGTCCTGGCAGCCCTACGCCATGGATGGCCGCATCAGCCCCCAGAGCAACGTGGACTTTGACCGCAGCCTGCGGCAGAGGTAGGGGAGGGTGCTGGGGAGGAGCCAGGGCTGCTGGTGGCTCATCCTGCCTGTCCTGCCTGTGCTGCCCATGTTGCCCATGCTGTCTGTCCTGCCCATCCTGCCCATGCTGCCAGCAGCCATAGGGAGCTCATTCCCTGCATGGTCCTTCAAGACAAGACCTAAAGAAGTGGCTGGGAGGAGCCCTCTCCACCTGAGGGCACTGCTGGGAGATGGGGGAGCTCCCGGGGTGCGATATGCCCATCTGTCTGACCCACTCCTCCCTCCCCATCAGCAACCCCGCCTGGGGTCTTCGGGACACAGTGCTGCTGCGGCACTTGGCCGAGGCCAACAGGCTACACCTTGAGAGGATGGTAAGAGCTGGGGGGTGTGGGGTGGGGGGTCCCTATGCCAGTGGGGACCCCCTGACCCTGGCTCCATGCTTTCAGGTGGATATGCCGGCCAACAACAAGAGTCTCATCTTCCGCAAGCTGTAACCTGCCTGTGACACCTCCTGGCACGGATACCCCTCGAAGGGGTCACATCACGGCGATGGGACAGCGCCCTGCTCACCCCATCTGGGCCTGGGCTCGGCTGAGGGGGCTCCCTTTGCAATGGGGTGCCCCAGAGAAGCTACCGTGGCTGCCATGGGGGGCAGAGGCACTGGGGGGGAGCAGCACCTTGGCCATGGGGTAGAACCTGCTCGGTGGTGGGGTGACCCATCCTTCTTCCCATCCCCTCCCCAGGACTGAGATGCTGCTCCGCACAATAAACACCAAGGCTTCACACATACCCCCTCCTCCCCCCAATGCTTTCAGCACTTGGCACTGGGGGAATCCCCAGTCCCCCTCAAGCACCAACCAATGGAGGGGATCACATCCTGCACAGGGAGCCCCCAGAGGCTTTGGTGCAGTGGGAAGGTTTTTATGAGGGGGGTCCCCGGCAGATCTCCCACCCCTGTGCAACACAACCCACTCCTTTATTGCTGCTGGCCGGGCTGGAGGGTACACGGGGGGCATGTGGCAGATAAATAACAGGGGAGGTGGGAGCTGAGGCTCAGCATGGGGTTCTAGGGAGCTATGTGGTGGTGGTAACCCCAGGATACAAGCACTGGTGTGGGGCTCCCCCTCCACAGTGAGTCTGCAGCCCCCATATTGGCATGTCCCGGCTCTGCCCTAGTCCTGGAAGCGGTTGAGGAGGTCGCAGGTTTTCTTCTCCATCAGCTCATAGATCTTCTTCACCCGCTTGTCGTTGGCCGCCCGCACGTAGCTGCTGGGGTCCAGCGTGGCCATGCCGTCGTGCACCTCGCCCATGATGATGAGCGGCCCGTCCTCCGCCGTCATGTTGGGGCAGGGGCAGCTCCAGTCCATGTCAGTCAAGGTCACCTCCAGGTACTTGATGTTGAAGAACTTAAGGCCCATCTTCTCATCCTTGAGGACGTCCTCGAGGGCGAAGCGTGCGATACCGGAGTCCTGGTCCTCCACGACCTCCATCAGGCGTCCCACGATGGCGAAGTCGCTGCGGCAGAGGCTCAGGACCATCTTGCTTTTCAGGCGGCAGGCCTTGCACTGCAGGCTCTTGGGGAAGGGGCAGGCGTCCTCGCAGCTCTCCTTGCTCTCAAAGTTGTTGGTGTTGCCCTCGCAGCCGCCGTACACGAAGGAGTGGCACTGCTTCAGCAGCGGGTTGTACGCCCAGCGCGGCTCCCAGTGCTGGCAGGGGCCCTGCACCACGGGCAGCAGGCAGGCGGGGCGGGCGCTGCCCAGGCAGGCGGCCCGGCACTCCTCGTATGTCTCAAAGTGGTTCCTGTTTGCGCCGCAGCCTCCGTAGCGGAAGGTGAGGCAGGAGCCCTGCTTGGCGTCGAAGTGCCAGCGCACCTCCAGCGCCTCGCAGCGCCGCCGGTCCGGCTCCTTCAGGCACTCGGCGCTGGGGAAGGGCTGGGGGCTGCTGGCCAGCGCCACGGCCCCTGGCTCCCGCCTCAGCACCGACAGTGGGAAGTCGGCGCGGAGCAGCCCGGCAGTGTTGCGGGCCGTGCACGTGTAGATGCCGGCGTCCTCATGGCGGGCGTTGTAGATGACAAGCTGGCCGATGTTGGTGACCACCACGTTGCCGTACATCTGGTCCGGCCGCATGATGAAATTCTCCTCCCTCTCGCTCTGCTTCTCCCAGGTGATGTCAGGGCGCGGGCGCCCGCTCACGTCGCAGCGGAAGCTGACGGTGCCTCCGGCGCGCACCGACTGGTGGAAGGGGTTGCTGTAGAGAGCGGGGGGCACCGGCACCTCAGGGCCGGCGCCTGGCGTGGGGCGAGCTGTGGTCTCCTGTGGCACGGGGCTGGTGTCGGGCCAGGTGAAGATGTGCTTGCAGGGCACGGTGGTGAGGCGGGTGCCACGCAGGCACGCCTCGGCATCCATGTAACACTTGTTGTAGTAGGTGAGGCCGTCAGAGGCGCAGGTGAAGTTGGGCTCCTTCTCGCAGCGGTCTTTGCACTTGCACACGGGCTGCCCATCCCAGATGTCGCAGTCGGAGCCCTGCTGCGCGCACACGAAGCTCTCACATGAGGCTGCGGGCGCCGGCGCGGGTGCGCTGCCGTTGGCAAAGCGGGCGGCCACGCAGCTCTGCAGCCCGCACACGTTGGTGCAGCACTTCTCAAACCCTTCGCAGTCCTGGCCAGGGACAGGGGGGAAAGAGGTGATGGGGGGATGGTGTGCAGGTCACCACCTTGCCATGGGAGCTGCTCCCACCCCCTGTGGGGCTTTTGGGTGGGCAGTGACCTCATGCAGCCCTGTGCACCCTCAGCACTGCCAGCCCTCACCAGCATGGCTACACTGGCCATGGCCCACCCTCAGCCCCTCCAGACTCACCAAGGATGCTGAGGGCTGCACTGCAATGATGTTGGTCCTCCCTGCCCCGCTCCCCCCCCACCCTGCACACAGCATCTCACCCCTCTCTTTTGCTAGCTGAGGAGAGGCAGAACTCATTACACAGCTGAATTGCAAATGAGTCTCCCACTGTGTAGGAGCACTAAGTAAGGTGGAGATGCTGATGTCCAAGCTCTTCTTTATGGAGCCTGGAGCTGGAGCTCTTCAGGATGGACAGCCCTGTCCATGGGTGGGTTCCTGACCACAGGGATAAAAGTGGGGGGTGCAGGGCTGTCCACTGTCTGATGGGGGTCCCTGTTCCAGCACAATATGGTCCCCCCATCCCAGCCCTTTGGCTGGGTGGGACCATCCTGGGGTGCATGGTGGGGGTGCTTTGGCTACAGGAGACATGGGGGGGGGGGGCACGAGCAGCTTCTTTGCCTGCTGAGGAGGCAGGGGAGCAGCACCCCTGATGCCAACCCACAGCGGGGGGTTGGGGGGATGGGTAAAACTGAAGCCGGGCTGAGCCCGTTGCACAGGAACAAGCGCCATCCACAGGACCCGCACCCAAAGCATGTCCCTGGGGTCCCCCACGTTCCCCCGCGCCTGCTCACCTGGTCCTCCCGGCACTCACGCTCGCACGTGCTCTGCGCGTCCACCCACAGGTTGGGGTTGAGCTGGTTGGGGCAGACCCCTGGGTGCCGCATCCTGGCCGGCTGCAGACTCAGCCCCGCTGCCAGTGCGGGCAGGAGCAGTGCGATGCCAACAGGAACCAGATTCCCACTTGGAAGCATCCTGGCTACCCCACGCCGCCAGCCTGGCTCGCTGGTGAGAAATCACGGTCAGGATGGAGGGGATGAGGGGGAAGGAGGGGGGACAAAGAGAAGGAGGAGGAGGAGAGGACCAAACCTCTGCTCTTCAGGGCCTGCTGGACCACCAGCGATGCTGCCGGCCACCTCCATCCATCGCCGCAGCTCAGCTTGCGGGTGCCAGGGACACGGTGGCAGTGGTGTCCCTGGTCCTTCTTCCCTTAGTGAGAGGGTCTCAGTCCATCCTGGCTCCCTGGCGGCTCAGCGGGGCGAGTGGGGTGGAAGGGGAGGACGGGAAGGTTGTAATCTGAATCCCCTCCCTTCCCAGTGATGTTTCTGGGTGTTTGGAATGGGAAAGGCGCTGACCTCAGCCTCTAACCCCGGCGAGCCAAGCCATCGGCTGGGCAAACACGGCAGGGGGAGATCAAAGGCAGAATGCAGAAAGTCTCCAAAGAGGGAGAGTGGAAGGAGGGAGGACACACACACAAAACCCACCCAGCCCATGGAGCTGAATTCCTGCAGGATGAGAGAGCAGCCAGAGCCTGTGGTCCACTCATCCAGGGCTGCCAGCAGGGAGACCTGCGGAGACCACACTGACCGGGGAGCCCCTCACCCTGCTCCTGGCCTCTTGGCATTGAGGGTGGATGCAGCCTTGAGCCCGGGAGTGGGAGCTGGGGCTGGCACTGGCACTGGCACGTGTCCACCCTGCTCATCCCTCATCACCATGTGGCACCCCTCAAGTGCTGGGCACAGCATCCAGCTCTCCTGGCAGTGCAGTGGGTGCCCACCAGCACCCAGCACTCCCTCCACACCGACTGAGGGCCAGGCTGTCTCTCCAGAGCTGGAAGCCAGCCCCATGGGATGCCTCCTCAAGCTGCATCCTGGCTGCAACCACCTCGTGGAGCACATTCTGCAGCTGGCCCTGACTCCCCAGGCAGATTCCCATGGTCCCTGGTGGGACTGACTTGCGGAGGAACGCTTCACAGCATCCTGGGAGCATTAACTCTTCCCTCAGCTGCTGTGAAGCAGCAAACCCACCCAAGGAAATTTTGCCCTGGGGTCTCCAGCCCTGGCTCCGCAGTGCTGCAAACCTGGGGGCAGGTGGTGGAAGGGACAAAGAAAAGGGGGGAACCCACCTCAAACCCACCTGCACCCCAGTGGTCCTTGTGCATGCAGTGTTCAGTGCCAACCTGGTCCTTGGGGAAGCTCCTGGGGGAAGCCCTGTTGCACTGGAGCAGGCATTGCAGGGGGCTCTCAGGATCTACCACACTGCTCTGTGCTTGGGCTCCCCAGGGACCTCAGATCCTGGAACATGGCAGCAGCTTGCCATGACCACACACAGAGAGCTGGAGTGTCTTCCATGGTCCATGGTTTCAAGGCCAAGCAGCCACGCAAGGGTCTGGCTGGCCCTGGGTGCAGAGTGGAGGCTACACTGGCCCAGGGTGCTCATGAGGGAGCTGCTGAGATGTTTTGCAAACAGGGAATTGCATCAGGTCAGCCTGACCCTGCCTGCTCCATCCAGCCAATCCCAGACACCGGCTGCCTCCAGCAGCACATGGAGACTCCCAGCCCACAGCCCCACTCACTCTGGCAGGGTGCAGGCTGCCACAGCACCTCGCTCCCCAGAGGTGCACCTGAGCCACATTGGGGTGCCCCAGGGTCTTCCAAGGGTGCTGGAGCAGGAGGGAAGGGGGAAAGGAAAACCTGGAGCCCAGCTTTCACCCACCCCTATCTGGGGTCCATGTGGTTATAACATGGTCCAAGAAGATGCCAGTGCTGCGGTTTGGGTCAGTTCCTACCACAGAGGTTCCTCTCTGGAACTGTGGGAGCAGGTCCTGAGGTGTGGCCCATGTCCCACACCAGAGTCCAGGATGCCTCGTCTCTGTGTCACTGAGTTGGAAATGCAGCTCCCAACGACTCGAGACCCTCACCCATGCCTGGGGACCCAGCAGAAGACGAAAGAAAACCTCATCCCTGGCAGTGTTCAAGGCCAGGTTGGACGGGGCTTGGAGCAACCTGGTCTAGTGGAAGGTGTCCCTGTCTGTGGCAGGGGGTTGGAACTGGATGAGCTTTAAGGTCCCTTCCAACCCAAACCAGTCTGGGATTGTGACTCAAAAGTGACTCTCACCAGTCTGGCCAAGCCCACGACACTTTCACCATCTGAAGGAGCTAAAACTTCAGCCTCTCCCAAACTTCATCTCTGCATCTAAGCTCCCACTGCTGCCCAAACAGGGAACTCCTGGAGTCACTTCCAAAGATCCCAGACACAAATGCAAGGTTTATGTCTCAGCGCCTCCCTTCAAGCAAGGGGAACACAGGAAGGAGCCCAGCACCCTGTCTTGGAGCAAAAGGCACCCTGCCACAGCCCTCCCTGGGCCTCAAAGGGCTCCTGCCCCACCAGTGTGCCCATGGGCAAGTTCAACCACATTGTCAAGCATCCCAGGTGCCATCAGGTGCAGGTCCCTGTTCCTCGTGATGGGACCCATGGTTGACCCTGCAGGGGACAGTGGTACCAACCTGATACCTTCAAATGGGAAAAGTGGGTTGGGAGGAGCACACTCAACAAGGAAAGACCTGAAGCAGCCCAGAGCAACCTGCTCCTTCCCCAAGGCTCAGGGACACCCACAAGCTCTCCCAGCCTCTGGTCCCAGGTTCAGACTGTGGACTGTTGTCTCTCCCTCCTCTTCCTAAGCAGAGGCAGCTCTGGCATAACTGGCCCCAGCTGTCCTTACCCACCTGAAACCACACACAGCCTTGGAGTCTGCTGGCAAGAAGGAACAGACATTTTCCAGAACCCCCCTGAAAAGGGGAAAGGGGGGAAAAAAAGGCCCTTCCCTGACCAGGTTTTCACCTTAGCTCCAGGGTTTTCCAGGCTGCAGACACTATCTCATCTGCCCCCTACCCCCTCCCAGCCCTGGCAATTACTGCTTAAGCTGTTAAAACAAGCGTGGCCGGTCTGGTAAGAAGTGGAAAATCTGATCCCAGGGAAGTGAGCAGGCAGGGAAAAGGGAGGTCAAGCGGAGGTGGGCTGCGAGCAGAGACAAGGATCTGGGGAGGAGAAGTTTCCCTGCACCCAGGAGCAAAGCCCTTGTGCTGGGGCTCCCAGACACGGGTGCTCTGAGCTCCCCACGGCACCTTCTCCAGTTCAAAGCCCCGCTGAGGCCACACTGGCTTCCAGCTTGTTCCAGTTTGGGCTGGGTGGGTGAAACCTGCCGTTCCCCAGCATCGCCCTGGCTCAAAGAGGCGAGCTAAGGCTGCAGCTGTACTTGCAAAACCTGTCCCTGTGTACCCGAGCCTGAGCACAGCCACACATAAGCTGCAGCCACCTACATGACTAAATGCGTTGCCAACTTGTCTGCGCTGCCTTAGAGCTCCACGGTCCAAGCCTCAGCCCTTCTCTGAAAAAGGCAGAGTAAGAACAGATTTAGCTTCTGCTTGGTCAGAGAAGGGCAAAACCCCACGAGGCCCAGGAATCACAGCTTTTAGGAGGCCCCAGAAACTGTAACCCAAGTTGTTTCATGGATGATCTACAAGTGGCAACACACACTTGCACTGCAGCAGCCGCAAATCCCCACTTTTGGGCACAACTCCCACCTTTTCCTTTCAACCTTGTCCCAGCCCACGCCAAAACTGATCCAACTTCTCCACCATGGGTAGTTCAAAACAAGAACAACAACAAAAAAGACTTTAATTTATACAAAACAAACGCATGTAGAATCAGTTGAACAACATTGACTGTACAAAGGAATAAAAAAAATAAAAGGATAGTCCAAAAAAACCCCCCCCAAACCCAACTGAGGAATGGTACAAGTGTTGGAGAGCAGCTACAGACTAGTGTTGACATAAGATGCAACAATTTTTCCTTTTAAATTAACAACAACAGCAACAAAAAAGTGTTTTTGCTGAGCAATTGCTCCAGGTGGATCTTCCCTCCTCACTACAGCCAGGGTCGAGACCTTACGGGGTGAGAAAACAAGAAATCAACCACAGGGAAAGGGGTGTGGAGAGGTGCTACACGTGGCAAAGCCAAACCAAGCAGCGGTGCATCTCGTTTCCAGCCATGCAGCAGCTCTGTGGGTGCAGGAGGAAGCCTTCATCCCTCTTCGCCCCCCTTGCCAGGGGGAAGCCCAGGGTGTTGTTTTCCAGAAGTCACCCTGCTCCTGTGGTGCCCATCACCTGTTGGCCATATATCCCCAGGCTGCTGAGCCAGCGATTGTCTTCTGCTGCGTGTCAAGTGGTGGGAAGCAGGTGCCGGCCACTCCAGACAGGTTCTCCAAATCCCCCAGCCTTTGTGCCTCCGCGCTGGGCCCGGCTGCGGCTTTGCTCTGGAGCCAAACCACCACTACAAAGGATTCTTCTCCCCCCTCCATCTGCCTGGGGTTTAATTCTCTCCTCACTCATTTGAGCTGGGCAATAAAGCACGCTAGAGACGAGCCAAGAGGCCTGACTCCTCTTGTTATACAGAGCAGGGAGGAGGAAGGCTCCTTCACCTCCAGGTCACTCGGGGAAGGAGATATTCTTCATGGAGGGATGTGCCCCTGGTTGCTGCCTGAAGAGAGTGGGTCCATCGGCCGTGCAGGAGCTGCCACAGCTTCATTCTGCCCATGCAATGCAACAAGCTGCTCTGGGGGTGGAGAAGAGCCAGGCCAGGCCTTGAGGAGCTGCTAACACCAGGAGGGAGATGGCAACACTGCACTAGCCGGGCTCCTTGCTGAGGAGCAAAAGGAAAAGCAGTTCATTTCCTACCACGCTACTCACAATCTACACATCTTGGCTGCCTACAAGGATCTGTCGAGGATCACTCAGTCCCACTGCCAAGCTTTTGCAATAAAGGCTAGGTGTTGTTTGCAAGGCTCCAGGTGAGTTCCCAGCCCAGGTCAGCCATGGGATGAAGCCAGGGACACACACTGCACTTGCTTGACAGAAGATCTCTCACAGCACGTGCACACCACAAGCCACAGAGCACAATCCAGAACAAAGCAGTTTGCTGTCCCAGTTCCCTGGGGCTACCAAGTAACTCTGCCATGATGGGACCTGGGGG